TTTAGTCATCTGAAGTCTGCACAGCTCCTCTCCTCCTGGTTGGTGATCGTCTTAGATTAGGTCGAAAAGTATAAGAAAGCGGGATCAATTTTTTATTCGTTTAAATCACATTGCTTTCCGTACCGCACTGTATTACATTTTGCATTGCTTTTTCCACATAGCTACACAGCCGCTACTGCATTTCCTCCGATCAGACTGACAGCCATCTATTTGGTCTAAGTCTAGTCAGAAAAAATGCTGTGCAGTGTTTCCTGAGCATGTTTGGAGCTATTAGGCTTGCATCTGGAAGTGCTTTCGACATAACCTAGTTCGTTGTCACTCCCGCACCACGACAGTATGTTTGGATAAAAATGTTTTCAGAAGTTATAAAACAATTTTGCAGTTAACTGCTTGCCTATTCTTTAGCATCCAACATGAGCAGTAGATTCTAAACATTATTCTTTCTATTCTTCCTCCTTCTTTCTGTTCACCAGTTCTCTCTTTCCTGTATCTAACGAACGATAAGCTCGATTACAAAAAGTACTAGGGATTTTTTTTGAAATCTTCTATTTCAGTGTAAAGCATTTGCAGCATTCTGATCCAATAAGCCTGAACAGCCCAAATTACTAATGAATGGATTGCGGTAATGATTTTTGCCGGCTAACTATTTAAGTTAGGTTACGCAAGCACTAGTGTTCTATTGGTTTAGAGTCAGTGATCCCGTACTGAAAATTTTGATAATTTTAGCGGATCTCAATTCTTAAATTTCCGGCACTAGAATGGCAGTTACGAGTTTAAATTTCGGAATGTTTTGAAAATATGCCATATTCAGTTTGCTGGCTTCACGTATTCGCAACAAACCTTTGGTATTGCGACGACCATTGCCGATGTATTCGGATATCAGCCAGTGGATGGAATCATGGGGCTTGGCTGGCCAGCGTTAGCAGCGAAAGACGTTACTCCGCCAGTACAAAATGTGCTGGAGCAATTTGATGAGCCTCTCTTTACCGTATTTATGGCACGGTTTGTTTGCTCGTAAATTCAGTAGCTTTCCGGTGTCTTAGTTTTCTTTTTTTTTTAATAAAGAGGGATTTTCTGAAGTTCTTCTGAACCTCCTCAGTTCTTAGTTCTAAAAAGTTTTTTTAATAGAAAAGGGTTGCTCGTGAAGCGGAGCATTGGTTGCTCGTGAAGCTGCAAATGGTATTTATGCAGACTGTAGCTTTTGCGTCGGTAGGTTCAAAAAATTTTAAGCTATTGCTGCAGCAGCCGTCATGAAGGGATCTAGAAGCCGTTAAGTCAAGAAACCCAGCGCTTTTTCGAGGAATATTACAAAAGTTTGACACACAGTACATTCATGAGCAAGGAAGGTCAGAAGACAACAAAATTATAACACATTGAGAGTGAGTGGAGCTTTAGGCTGCGCTGCTGCAGCGAGCAAAAACGCATATTGTCGAGAGATCGTCCGCGTGTGTGTTTAGAATCGACTGAACTTCGTCACCCACTTTCAACTCATCAACCCCGAAAAAAATATGAATATTTCTTTCACGGGAAGCGATTTCGCA